AAAAAAAAAAAAAAAAAAAAAAATAGTCACAGAGATGATTTTCCTATACACGTGGTTGAGAAAATTATAGTATGCAAGCTGTCCTAAACGGAAAAACAAAGGGAGACAGGAGCTGGTTAAGATGAGGAACAAAACATTGGTTTAAGGTTAAAAACAGGCAGAGTGGTTTGTTTTGCAGCGAGAAAAAAGGGGCGGTGGATGGCGATTGGTGATATAGGAGAACGTTCAGCAACACTTGCTCTTCCAGCCCGTCACCCCACCTCCACTGCTGATATCTACATTTTCACTGTTGGGCTCTTTTACAGGGGTCTGCAAGGAAACAAGTAACAAGAGTTAGACGACTCTCAAGATATTCTGCAGCAAAGTACTCAGAGCGGAAGAGAGCGGCCTGCAAGACGACTGGCATCACCGAATAATATTATGAATAAACTAGGGACAAAGAGCCCCTCAGAAATGTCGGGAATCCTCCTCCCCCTCCAGCAAAAGCAGACAAAACCATTTTAAGTTTTGTTTTAAATAAACAACAACCGGAAAGCTGGGAAAAAAAACAAAAAAAAAAAACAACCAACCAACAACTTTTGAACTTGGACCACCCCAAAGTAAACTAAAACTGCTTCTAGATCCTGCTCTTAGAACTGACACTTGGGCTTCGGTGGAGTAAGTAAATCCCAGCCTACAACTAACACACGCTGAAGTTAAATTATGTGAACTAATGACCTTAAAAAAACCCACAGAGTAATTTATGGATAAAGAGGGGTTGTTCAAAAGCATCTGCCTTCCAGTTCTCCAGGACACCAGTTTCCGCGGCAGCGGGCAAAGCCTGCTTTGACTCGCCTGCGTCACGGGATGCAAACTTGGTTAGACCAAAGCTACAATCAAAATCAAGTGGTTTGAGCCGATGCTAACGTCTCCTTTCGGCCTTAGAAACCAACCCAGACATTCACGGGAATGCTGCTGGTTAGCCTGTTTTTTGTTGTTTGCTTTTTTTTTTTTCCCCACAGCCTTGCAAAAGCAAGCTCTTCCCCCTGATCCTTCAGACAACTACACTGAGGCCCAAAATAAAAATCTGAAGGTGAAAAGGATCAGTGAGCCTCGGAGCCTGACCTGCGTACCACAGGCCAGGGATTTTCCTCCAGGTTCTCACATCATAAAGCTTGTCAAAACCTGACTGAGACACAACTCAGATCTACAACGGCGAACCAAACAGCGATGTGTATTTCTAAGGGTTGTAAAAAAGATTCAGCATTGCCCTTGTGGTACGTTTGGGGCCGGTTAACTCGGGTGAAGCGCTGGAGACGCTCGGCCAGGGCACGGCAAAGCCCACGCGGGGTCACCCACACACGTGCTGGAGCTGGGCAACAACGCTGGGCTCCAAGCGCCGCAGGGGCTCGGCCCCATGGGGAGCAGGAACGTGCCAGCCCGGGGCCAGGGGGTACATCGGGCCCTCGGCTGCGGGAACCGGCCCCGGAGCCGCCCGCTCAGCTCGATCCTACGCACGGCGGCGGCTGTCGGAAGCTGGTGTGGGGTTTGGTGGTTTTTCTGCTCGTGGAAGGGATCAGGGGTAGGAGTACAGCAGCGCCCCGTCGCTCCGGGCACGCAGAGCTGGGTACAGGCCGCCATGGCCACTCGAGGGGACGGGGAGGCGGGCGCCGGGGTGAGCTGGTGAGCCTCGCCCTGCTCACAACCGACCCGTCAAACCTCCAAGGACACGCAGAGGCCGAGGGGGCTCCCCGCTGCAAACAGGGCAGATGCAACACTGGGAGCTGCTTCATCTGCCCTGCCAACCACACCGCAACTCTTCCCATGGACGGAGACGGTGGCAGGGACAGGACAATCCTCTCCCGCCCCAGCTGAAACGTTTTAACCCCGAGCATGCGCACAGCACGACCCTGAGTTTAAGGGCCAAACAGCTACGAGTTCACGTTCCTCGGCTCTACTCCCTCTACACAGCAGCCCTACAACAACAAAACAGCAAACAAGCTTTAGAAGCTTCTGACGTACAAGAAACTCCTTCAGGGACGCGTTTGCCTTCGCACGCCAAAGCCGAAAGCTGCAACAACCCAGATTAACATCAACAGTGACGGGAGCAGAAATTTTAGGGTTGTTTGCTTTTTTTTTTTTCCCCAAGCAAACCCTGTAAGCACCTACCTTTCGAAGAATGTCTTCTGCTAATGTGAGGAATGCCTTCTCAATGTTTATATTTGCTTTTGCGCTAGTTTCGAAAAACCTAATACCGTGCTCCCTAGCAATCTAAACCAAAAGAGAAAAAGAAGGAGGTCAGCGTTACTGCAGTTATCCCCCTGGTGCTGCTGTCACTTGGGGATTAGTGGCATTTATAAGCAGGTAATATTCTTTGGGCTGTAGCAGGCCTCAGAAGGACTAGCTAGGCACAGTGTCACAAAAGATTTGGTACAGAATGATTCAGAAACAGCAAGTAAAGTGTATTAAGTTACAAATCAATGTCTGGACACAAGACGACCGATACCATACACGCCTGTCACAGGGTAAGTAACTTAACAAGGGATGCCTGAAAATTTTTAGTTATCAAAGGCAGCAGAAACTGCAGCTGGATTATTTCCGTTCATGGCATTGTCTGCCACGCAGCTTCAGGGAAAACAACCCCTGGACTTACAAAGCATCAGCAAATCCAGCAGCCCGGCCCTCTCCCTGGCACATCCCACTGTGGCACCTCGACCGGCTGGAGCTGGCGGGAAGTTTCGGCACCGATTTGCTTCCTTGGATAAGCAAGTTTTGGTCTGACACTTACCTGTTCGCCTTTTGCTTTAGGGACAACTCTTTTATCTTCCATGTCACACTTGTTTCCTAACAGCATCCTCTCCACGTCTTCGTTGGCATGCTGAAACGAGACAAGAGACAGGTTCACACACACGTCTTCCCCAGCAAGCAGTAAATATCCACCTCGCTTGTGTACTTCCAGGCTGCTTGAAGTCCAGGCTAATGTTTACAGGTCTCGGTGGCCTGCACCTTCCTCTGAGTCGTAACAAAAAGGCTGCCAGACGTCCTTCTGCAGACAGTGCCTTTAGACTAAAGTGCTCACATAACCCTGAAGTGGAACGAGACATCAGGTACAGGTGTGACCCAGCTCTATCACCATCCCAATGCCAGTTATTTTCCCCCTTCCTGTTTATTCCTGCCGTTTACATGTGAAGCCTTCCTTTCTGAAAAAGGCCAAGTGCTGTTCTGGCACCCAGACCCACAGCCAATGACACCAGCCTACCAAACCTTCCTTAGTTTATATTCAGCGACGTGGGAAAAGAATCATCTTCCTGCTGGGCACTTAGCAGGGTGAGTTTTCCTGCGTGCTAGGCGAGCCCATCACAGAAACGTGGAACCACCCCACAGCTACAGCTGCCAAGGACCAAGCCTCAAGCAGCGCCGTGGCTCCGGCCGACACAACTTTTTGGTGTTTAAAGGGCCCTTTACATCATGTTCTTGTAAGTGTCCTCAGCGGCTGCGACTGCCTTCAGCCACCGCAAAGCCAACTAACCAAGAAGTCAGTGAATAAACCTGTTTGCCTGTTAATTTTTTTTTTTTTTTGAGAGGAGTTACTGAGTTAACTAACAAAGGGAAATTACAGCTCTCTAGCATCACGCTGCTCCTCTGATGTCGCAATGCCAGCAAGACTGTGTGTCAGCTTTCTGCTTGAGCTCCATCTGCTAAAGACTTCCTGCAGGGAAACGGAGCGCAGGCCGTGCCCTGAGCACACCTAAACCAGGTCATCGCCAAAGGAAAACTGAAGCAAGCACCCTGCTAATGCCCAGGATGCAAAGAAAACCAGGACCATGCACTGAGGGAATCACCTTCGTAAGGCAAAAGCAAACACAGGATCCCAGAATCACTCAGGCTGGGAAAGCCCCTCGGGATCAGCGAGACCAACCCTCACAAAGTTCTCCCCTACCCCACATCCCCCACAGCTCATCCCAACGGCCCTGAAACCCCCCCAGGGATGGGGACTCCCCCCTCCCTGGGCAGCCTGTTCCACTCTCGCACCACTCTTGCTGGGAAACATTTTCTCCTCCTGCCCAGCCTGACCCTCCCCTGGGGCAGTTTCCAGCCGTTCCCTCTTGTCCTGTCCCTGATCCCCTGGGAGCAGAGCCCAGCCCCAGCCTCTCTGCAATGTCCTGTCAGGAGCTGCAGAGAGGGATGAGGGCTCCCCTCAGCCTCCTCCTCCTCAC